TCAGTGGCCAAACTCAACCTGTTTCTTTATTGCTGCATTTCTCTCACTTTCACTCAACAGGTAGATCCAGGTGGTCACCTACCAAGCATTTCAGCCTTCTCACAGGCTCCCTTTAACCTTCAGTCCCAGAGAGGAGTTTTATTCATGGATCCAGATTTTTTCCAGCTACTGACAAAGACTACTGGTTCCTTAGTATTCCAAAGCACTGGGTGGGACATATATTTCCAAAGCTTTTTTTACAGATATGGCCTAAACCCACTTAAAGATCAAATTTTAATGACTGAAGCAAGTGGACTTACAAACATTCTATCTTCCTACTTCCCATATTTTCCCCAGAAAAGCAACCAAGTAAATAGTGTGGCTTTATCTGACCTCTGGCTAGACAAAGATGGAAAACTTCCAGGAGGGAGAGGTCAAACAAACATCTACTCTCTATCTTAAGATTTGTTTCTCCAGTACCCCACTCCCAAGATACCATAATGTGTTAGTCTAGGTACTTTAGAGAAACAAATCCACAGCAACTCACGTATAAGAGAGTTTTATGTAAAGAAAGTGTGCATCATGAAAACATCCCAACCCAATGCTACCCAAGCCCACAAGTCCAACATTAACCTATTAACCCAACACAATTAAGTAACTCATACTCTAAAAACAAAAATAATTTGAACTCTTTAAACAATTTCCAGGATGTTAAAGTAGTACATTACCAGATATGCTTAATAAGCTGTACAGACAGTACTTGCTGAAGTGGAGGCACAGCAGTACACAAAGACAAACGTACTTGAGTGAGCTTACTCACCAGTTACTTTGGGGATTCCCTGCAGGCGAGGAACTGGCAAGGCTACAACGATGCCCAGATTGGTGCCAATCATTAACAAGCCATGGCAAACAAGCAGGCTAGTGACAGACACCCGTTGATGACCTAAATAGAGAGACAGCAGAAATTTGCATCAGCTTTGAAAACAAGGTTTGATTAATGCACTCATACCTGAGTCAGGGCAGTGAGATGCTTAGTGCACATAACTGAAAACCTCACAGACCCACAGCAATGAAGTCCTCCATCTGAATAAAGCGGGGCAGGAGGTGTGGGAAGGGCTGCAGTATAACTCACTTCAGCTAGACCATAAGGAGAATGACCTCGGGGAAATGTATTCTCTTAATTAGCACTGAAAGCGTACAAGCCACAAAAGAGGGGTGGACATAATTTTGAATCTGCCAGTTAATTCTCTTCAGGCTCCATTTCTTGGACTAGCACTTCCATGGGGAACCACATCACTTGGAATAGTCTATTTAAACTATTTAGTTTTGTTCAGACTAACAAGTGACCCCAAAGCATACTGTGGTTCTTTGATATAACAGAGCCATCTTCTTTAAGAATTGGAAAATATCTCCTAATATAGCTAGGATGGAGCAAAGTGGCACAGGTAAAGCACTAGGCTGCCAACTAGAAGGTCAACGGTTCAAACCTACCAGTCGCTCTAAGGGATAATGATGAGACTGTCTTCTCAACTAAAGATTTATAGTCTCTGAGATGCCTAGTAGCAGTTTTTCTGTCATAGAGGGTCCCTATGAGTCAGAATGAAATTAAAGGCAGTGGGCTAGATCTGGGTTGGATTATACTCTCTAATATGCATAGACACCACTATATGAGAGGCTTTCCAGATTTACAATAACAGCTTGGCAACCTTTCTTACAGAACACCGACGTGAAAAGGGGCTTGTTCTCTAAAGCTTGTTCTTCTCTCCCTCTCGCTTTTTGTGTGTGTGTGTGTGTGTAAACAACCCAGGGTTCTGGATCAATTAAATATCAACTTGTTCTGGGTGGTGATAGGCAAGAAAGTGGAAGTGAACAGCAGTGCTTTAAAGAGTGAGTCTTGATTTTCCCCCATGGATACTCTGATACTACCGTTAGCAAAACAACTTCTAAAAAGACACCAAAAACCTCCTGGTGTTTCTTTGGTTAGTAAAGAGTAGCACCAAAGATAATTTTTAAAAAATCATTTTATTAGGGGCTCATACAACTCTTATCACAATCCATACATACATCAATTGTGTAAAGCACATTTGTACATTCATTGCCCTCATCATTCT